ACATCACTGGTCATCTCAGATGCTCAGATCAGCATTCTCAACCTTAGGACTAATTTATTCTTGAGATAAACCCCCAGAGCCTTCTGTACCTATTTTTACAGCTGATCTAGGTATCGCTATGGCAGAACTAACACATGCAGTCAGGGCTAACTATTAAACTGCTATGCCTTTGTAGAGTTCACTTATACCCCAGCATCTACTTCACAGCATAACCCTAGTACTTTAGTATACCCCTGCCTTTTGTCCAGCCTTTTTACCTATTTATAATAGTTTAAATTAGGTTTAGTTTTATATATTAAACCAGTTTTAATTGGTTTTAGAATATGAAAAACAGACCAGTTCCAAATTCTATAATAAGCCTTACTTATACTTTCTAATAAACTCCAGAACCAAATTTCTAAGTTCATGTCTTAATAACATATTATAGTCCTGGTAATACCCAAAGATCCATTTCTGCAAAGCAGTACATTCAGATGCCCCAATATGCTAAATATCCAAGAACAAAAACTTTATTAATGCATCAATTATCTGTTTATTTACAACATGTGTGTGAAAAAAAAGAGACTTTAGATTTATTTAGAGTGTTTCAAGATCCTATTTTAATAAGATAGTAAGTAACTAATTATCAATATTAATTAAATTATATATTTACAAAATACTAACACTTATCAAAACTTACTTTTTCTGAAAGTGCACCAAATTTATCAACCTTTTCTAAAGTCATTACAGATTCCTGGCCATCTGCTTTTAACATGCTTTGAGCCAAATTGATGAGATTTAGGTGTTGTACTAAATATAAACAAAATTCAAGATCACTTTTGAATAGATCAATTAAAAATGAAAAAACATTAGCTTTATTTAATAATTAATTGTCTGCATTTTTAATTAAATGATTTCTAATTAAAAAGGATAGAGTGACATTAGGTGATAACGATCATTGATCATTACCATGGTTTCTAATCAGAAGAGATAGGCCAACTTTAGGCATTAACACCTGTTAATCATAGTAATCTTCTGGTGATTGGCTTCTAGGAGACAAAGCATTTGAGCTTTTAGAAGATGAAGCATTTGAACTTCTAAGTGATAAAGCATTTGATAAAGTATTTGAAACATTGTCTTCTCTTTGTGAAATGACATTTTTAGATGAGTAAGAATGAAAATATGGATTGTTAACATCTAAATTATTTAAATTAGTATTGTCCAAATTTTATAAAATAATAACAATAAGATTATACCATCATCATTAGCCAAACTAAATTCACTATTTTCTCTTTTCTTCTTCACACCAGTATATTTTGAATTTCTTTTTCTTTTTCTATCTGTAACATTTATTTCTTGTAATTTGACTTCAACTAAACTATTAGCTTTTATAGGTCTTAAAGGAGATTTCAAGCCTAATAATTATATAAATAAAAATAATAAATAAGAGAATAAAATACTCTAATAACTAAAACAAGTTCATTCTTTACTATTATTTCTTTTCAGTTTTTGTATTTTAGCCATATTCTTATTATAGACTAGATAAAATTTTAATTAAACTTTTACTAATCTGTACCTTCTCTTCTCTTTAATACTATTACTTTTATTTTTAGTCTAATGAGTATGTTTCTTTATTATACTAAGTATTGAAAAGAAAATTTTAATTTTTAATTAGTTTTTTTTTCTTTTATTTATGATCTATTTCTATTAAACATTACAAATGTGGAATATTGCATAATGAAAACCTGTTATTGGCATATTAATTTTGTATGAATTACATAAATTGCCAATTTGGGTTCTGTAAAAATATTTAAATAAAAAAATTTTTTCTAATACATAATGCGATGTATGATAATTAAACAGATTAATTCAGCTTACATACTAGCTTTGAAGAGATAAATAATTGTTAATATATATTATTACTGTTATTTGAAAGAACCATAAATGTTGCATGACTAATTATTATTTTACATACCAGATCATTCCTCTAGTACATGTTATAATTATAATCCTGCACCATTTTCATTATAATAAAATAATGTAGAATTATAATTATAACAGTACTAGTAAAACAAACAATCTAGTACTGTAAAATAATTTTTTTATATGTTGCACACTAAGTAAAGAATCAGTCTCTTAAAACTGAAAAAACATAGCATGCAGGTCATAGACAGACATTAGTATGATTGGCTGTTTAAATCAATTTAATTTTATTTTATTTATATAGTTTAAAGTACTTTTTTTAAAAAAATAAAACTATGAAGAATAAAAAAAAAAGAAGTATATAGAAAGTTTTATTGAGATTGTAGGTTAGTTGTAGGTAAGATTAAAAATTATATAAATTATATTTACATTACAAATAAATTACACAGTAACTTACAAAATTGTAATGTAATTTATATTTGATAATAGATTGGCATATAATTATTGTACCAATATTATAAAAGTTTTGCCAGTATTATTAAAGATTTATTACTACATTTAGAACTATAATTTATATTTAAAAATATATCAGATATAATAAAATTTTGGCTAATTATTCACATGATATCAAAATTACATGAAATTTTAGTTTTGAAAGCTTACATTAAATTATATAAAATTACATAAAATTATAGTAATTTTACAACTCTAGTTGTAGAACTCTACTATTAAAAATAATCAAAATTCTTTTTTGTTTTAGAGAAGTTAGCATAGTGATAACCTAATTCTATCTATTATTAAGAAGTTGCAATTATGCAAACTTCTCTAAAACAAAAAAAAAATTTTAATAGTGAAGTTCTACAAGCTTAATAAAACTTTTATATACTTTTTTTTTTGTTTATTTTTTGTAGTTTTATTTTTTTTAAAAAGTACTTTAAACTATATAAATAATATAAAATTAAATTAATTTAAACAAGCAATTATATGAATGTCTGCCTATAAGCATGCAAAGGGATTTGTTCATACATATAATAATTAATGCATATTTTATTGTAACATTATAAGGTAAAATTTTACAAGAAAAATTTTTGTTAGAGCACAAAAGTCAATTTGTTATATAAATTTTTAAAATATGAAAAGTTTTTAAAAATGAACAAATTTTTTTACATTATTTTTGATTGTGTTACTTTACTAATCATAATTAAATTATTAGTCAATTATTACATATGCAGACAAAATTCTTCTATATTCTGATACTGTTCTCAAAACTGGGTTTACTAATTTCTCTTAATACTTCACATTGGACATTTTCATTAGACAAAACCAATTATATTATTAATCAAAGTGGCATATTAAACTTTTTTTAAAAAATAATTCTTTTTATTGTTTAATAATAATATTTTGCTTTTTGAGTTTTTTTTTAATAAAGTTCTTTTCACTATTTACTACTAATGTTTTTATTATATATTACTATAAAAATATAAAACTTTTTAAATTAAAATAAATATACTTTAATTATATTGCTATATAAAAATCTGTATATTAATTTTTTTTTGTATGCATGCAAATTTACTAATTATTTAGCAACTTAGCAAACTAGCACCTACTACAATATTGTATCAAGATTACTATATGATTTCTAAAAGCCTAAAAAAACATTATACTAGTTAATTATTTTCTTTCTAGAAAATAATTTTAATATAATATTCTAATTTTTTAATAAAAAGTTTTAGTATTATTACAATACAATTAAATATATTAAATTAGTACTATAAATATATTGTAAAAATATTTTAGTTAATAAAAGTTTTTAGTATTATTGCAATATAATTTAATATATTAAAATAGTATAATAAATATATTACAATAATATTTTAATTTTATTTATTTTATTTTTTTTTTTTTTAAATATTAACGGTGAGGCCATGCCTTTAACTTTATTGAAATTCAATTGAAGTTTTTAC